TTGCCTTACAGCCTTTGGTTTTTCTTCCAAGTCAATGTCTTTTTCATACAACTGGAAATAAATAATAGCTGTAAACGAATTCTTCAGAATCTTCCTTTTTTAAGTTAAAAAACAAAAAAAAAAAAACTTTTAACTCCGTGCAGAACTTTATTTCTTTGTGTAATTATTTAAATTTATGTGGAAAACAGTGTTTGATTATGAACACTAGTGTGAATTTGTGAAAATTGCTCTTCAAAGAAATAAATATGGACAAAAATATTGTTTTGTTATGGAGCCATCAGATGACTCGAATTATGGAGTTATCCACAGTTATCCACAGTTATTTCTAATGTATCATGATCGATGGTTCTATAAGAAATCATCCGATATTTCCATAGAATTTTTGGTTTTGTATAATAGAAACTATAAGGGTAAAAATCAATTAGTAAGGTAACTCTTTGCCAAGTCTACTGATTATCAACTCGGAAAAAACTATCATCCCATCACGGAATTTTTCCGTAAGAATTTTAGCCATAAATTATCTACAATAATTAACTTTTATGTATTCCAAATGTTAAAAACTCGCACGGAATGATTTTGTGACGAAATGGTAGCCTTTCTCCAAATTTCAATAGTTTCGTCCAAATCCGGATATTAATTCATCGCATCTGAAATTGTGATGATAAGCTGTGTTCTATATTTGGTGGTACCAAATGAAGGTTCAAATTTACGGGAAAATAACGACATCAATTATCACATTAGAATACCTTTTTCCCACTTTTCAACTACGTACTACCAATCAATCAATGTAAGTTCCTTTTGTAGGATTAGGGTTCCGTCTCTCTCTGTAGAGCTTTTCAGTTCCTCTTGTAGGATTGGGTTTTTTCCGGTGGTTTTACCTCTTTTCTTTCGCTTTTTGTCCAGTGGGTAGGGCTAGGGTTCTCAATTGCTAGTGTGCCATGAATTTGTCTTTACTTTTCTGATCTATTGGTCGTTGGCTGCTTTATTAGTATTATCTCTTGCATTTCTAATTTGTCTATTGTAGGTAAGGTTGGTTGGTTAGGGGTTTGTTCAGTATGGAGGAGGAAGTGGTGGATAAGCTAAAAAAGTTCGCATTATCGGACAGAGAAGTCAAGGGAACTACTCTTGATGAGGAAGACATAGTGCCAGGGGTTTAAGAGTGTAAACTCAGTCTGATTGGCAAACTGTTTGGGGGGAAAAAGGGTCAATATTGGTGGATTTCAGGCAACTCTGGATAGGATATGGTTAACCAGCTCTCCATTCTCAATCAGAAACATAGAGGTTAACATGTTCCAATTTATGTTCCAGAATGAGGAAGACAAAGAGAAAATTCTTCAGGGCAGAACGTGGAGCTTCGATGGTCAATACCTCCTCCTAAAGCAGTGGGATCCTAACCATATGAGGTTCTTAGAGGAGGAGGAGAGGGTCAAGTTATGGGTCCACATTTTGAATTTACCTCTTCATTGGCTGTCAGCGGAGGTAGGCCTGAAGATTGGGAAGTCGGTAGGAAGAGTGTGGGAAGCTATAGTTCCGAACGCTGGAAAAAACAATGGCTAAGTGGTGAAAATCCTTGTGGAGCAGAATCTGAACGAACCTATTCTGAGGGGTATGAACATTACTCTGCGACAGGAGACTCATTGGGTGGACTTCAGGTATGAGGGTTTACTTAGCTTTTGTTTTTACTGTGGCAGAATTGGTTATGGGGATAGAACTTGCTCAGTTAAAAAAGAAGATATCAATAGGAATATGCTCAAGCTAGGGCAATTTGGAGACTGGCTTAGGACTTTTGGGTTTAGTCAAGGGGATTCTAGAATGTCGTGGCCTAGTCTTGGGGATAAATCAGGGTCTGATGTTAAACTCTCTAGAACTCAGGCTAATGAGCATGAGATCAATGAGAGTGAAGGCAAAGGTCACTCTGTTGGTACCTCTAGCAAAAGTGTTACTGAAGGGGTTAAAGACTTAGTGGTTAAGTCTCTTGATATCCCAAAAGAGGTTGTTGCTGTGGCTGCTGCTCACAGTAATCCTTTGAGTCCTGTTGTTGTGGATAATGAAATGCTTATTGACTCTTCTAATATTTCCTCCCCTAACAATGTGGATTGTACTGATCTGGTTGAAATCAAAATTGCTGAATTTAAACCATCTGTTGAAATGCCTAAATCTAGGAAAGGTTTTAAAAGACAACCTAGAGCTGTTAAAGTTGGCCTCAGTGATAAACTGAAGATTTCTAAAAAAGGCATTATTATCAATGAAACAAATGACTCCCAACTTCTGAAAAGAAATTTTGAAACTATTGGGGAGGATGTTATTGATTCTGATAATGGTTCTAAAAGGCTGAAAGGTGATGGAAAAGGAAAAGCTGTTGTGGTGGAGGAGGCCAACCCTAATAGGCCCCCTAGTGTAAATGAAAGTATGTGTGTGGAATTGTAGAGGTTTTGGAGGACCCTCTACAATTTGCCAAACCAAAGAGATCCTAAGATCTCATCTCTCAAATTTTCTGTTTTTATCTGAAAAAAAAAAAAAAAAAAAAAAAGAGTTTTGTTGATGTTGTTTTTAAAAAATTGAAACTGAAAGGTGGGTGTGTGTTGATCCAGTGGGCTATAAGGGTGGTATGGTTTTGTATTGGTCTAGTAAGGTGGAGATTGTGGGCATTGCTTCTTTTGATTTTTTGTTTTGAAGTGCAGTGCAAGTATAATGGGGATTCCAAGATCCATTGGGCTATTTTTCTTTATGCTAGCATTGATACATATTATAGATCCCTGCAGTGGAATTTTTTTATTAGACATAGCCTTTCTTGGGGAGATAGTTGGTTTATGGTAGGGGATTTTAATGACCTTCTTTTCAACCAGGATAAGAAGGGAGGGCAAGTGAGAGATGAGGCTAGTTTCCATATGTTCAGAGATTTATATATACCCTTCAAGGGTGGAACCTAAAAGTGTGGGATATCCCTTCACTTGGTCCAATCTCAGAAAAGGTGATAACTTTATTGAGGAGAGATTGGACAAGTTTTTTGTGTCCCCTAGTTGGTCTGCCAGTGCTCCTAATGCCCTAGTTAATCATTTTTCTATGTCTTCTTCTGACCACAGTATGATAATGCTTAATCAAAACCCTCTGACTGAAAAAGGAAAAAAAGATTCTAAGATTCGAAAAAGTTCGAACAAAAGGGGGGAAAAAATTGGACAAAAAAAAAAGAAAAAGAATGGGATAGGAAATCTTTGACTCTCGGTGGACTAAAATGGAGGGATTTGATGAAGTGGTCCAAGCTGCTTGGAATGAGAGAGTGGTGGGGCATCCTTTGTACAGCCTTCAACAGAGGATTAAAAATGTGAGAGTTGCCCTTTTGAAGTGGAAAGCACAAAAATGCTCTAATGCTGAGATTACCATTAAGGAGTGCAAAGCTAAATTATCTGAGCTGAACCAGCAGGGAAGAAACAAAGATTGGGCAGAATGGAATCACCAGAAAAGCAGGCTGAATTTGGCTTACAAAGATGAAGAGGAATACTGGAGAATCAAGTCTAGAAATCAATGGATGAAAGCTGGGGATAGAAACACCAAATTTTTCCAAGCTACAGTTCAGCAAAGAAGAAAGATTAATAGTTTGGAAAATTTGGTGAACTCTGAAGGGGATAGATGCTCTAATACTCAGGAAACACTGAATGAAGTCCAGAATTATTTTGATATGCTCTTCTAGTCCTCTGATCCTCAGATAGATAGATGTAATCTCCAAGGCATTCCTGTTTCAATCTCAGAACAGATGAACAGACAGTTAACACAACCTGTTGAGGAGGATGAAATCAAGAAAGCACTTATGGATATGGATCCTCATAAAGCTCAGGAGTTGATGGTATGTCCCCTTGTTTCTTTCAAAAATCTTGGGATTCTGTGAAAACTCATCTTTGTCTAGCTGTGAAGAATTTCTTTGAATGTGGTCAAATGCCTAAGTCAGTTAATCAAACTGTTATCTCTTTGATCCCTAAGAAGAAGCAGGCTACTAAAATGGTAGATTTCAGACCCGTAAGTTTGTGCACTGTGTCTTATAAAATCATTGCTAAAATTGTTGCTAATAGACTCAAGAATACTCTGTCTCATTGCATTCCCCTAATCAAGCAACCTTTATCCCAGGTAGACAAATTTTAGACAATGTAGTGATTGCTAATGAATGCATTCATTTCATTAATAGCAAAAGAAAAGGCAAAGACATGTTCATGTCTGTTAAACTTGATATGGCTAAAGCTTATGACAGGGTTGAATGGGTCTTTCTGCCTAAAGTGTGTAGACAAATGGGGTTTTGTAGTAAATTTGTTGCTTTGATTCTTGCATGTCTTAAATCCACTTCCTTTTCCTTTAATATCCAAGGGCAAATATTAGGGTCAGTTACTCCCACTAGAGGGTTGAGGCAAGGAGAACCTCTTTCTTCTTATTTGTTCATCATTCTATCTGAAGCATTTTCTAACCTTTTGAAGCAAGCTAGCTTATCTGGAAATATCATGGGTCTCAAAGTCAGTCAACATGCTCCCATTCTTACCCATCTATTTTTTGTTGATGATGCTATCTTATTTTGCAAAGCCTCTTTGTCTCAAGCTAATGTGATTCTGAAAATCTTAGATGATTATGGGAGTGCTTCTGGTCAGGCAGTTAATCTGCAAAAGTCCTCTATTGTTTTCTCTAAGAACACCACTAGTGCCTCTATTTTAGATGTATGCTCAGTTCTTAGGGGTATTGATAGGGTTGCTTCCTCTAAATATCTAGGTCTGCCCCTGAGAATTGGAAGATCTAAGAGAGAGACATTCAAATTTGTTTGTGAGAAAGTAAAACAATGAGTGACTAGTTGGAATAATAATTTCTTGAGTGAGACAGGAAGAGAGATTCTCATCAAAACCATTCTCAATGCTTTACCTGTATATGTGATGGCATGTTTCAAAATCCCCATTTCTGTGTATTCTGAGATGAGCAAAATTCTGGCTTCATTCTGGTGGGGGAAAAATGACAAAGTCCACTGGGCTTAATGGGACAAAATGGTCAAAAGTAAAGAGGAAGGAGGGATGGGCTTCAGAAACCTAATGGAATTCAATGATGCTCTCATTTCTAAGCAGCTCTGGAGGATCCTCACACAGCCAAATCTCCTCATTAGCAAATTCTTGAAAGGCAGGTACTTTTACAACTCTAACCTGTTTGAAGTTGAGAAGAAAAACAATGATTCATGGCTATGGAGGAGCTGGTTGAGTGTAAGAGCAAAATTTCTGAAAGGTGTGAGGTACCAAATTGGAGATGGAGCACATATATCAATTTGGAACTCTCCATGGGTTCCAAATTTGCCAAGCTTTAAACCATATGGTTCATTTGTGAGTGATAGAGATAATCTGCAGTTTATAAATTAGCTGATGTTGAAGGATGAAAAAGTGTGGGACTCAGAACTGATTAAGCAAACCTTCCCTCCTCATGAGGTAGCTGAAATTCTTAAAATTCACTTGAGTGTGGTCAAAAAAAAGAATAAACTGATGTGGGTGTTCAATGAAAAAGGGATGTTTACTGTTAAATCTGCTTATGAGAAGTATCATTCTCTTTCCTCTGGAATATCTATTCATGCTGCAGGCACTAGTGGCTAATCCACCCAGGTTACACAGATGTGGTCCTTCACATGGAAGCTTAATATCCAGTCGAAAATAAAAAATTTCATGTGGAGACTGCTCAGTGGATTCCTCAGCTCTAAAGTTCAATTACTGAAAAAGGGAGGTACAACTGACACCATTTGCTCAATCTGGGGAGAGGAGCATGAAGATGCCAATCACATCTTTGTGAAATGCAGTATTGTTGGAAGGTGTTGGAAACTGGCAGGACTTGAGTGGGAAGATTTCCAGAACTCTGACTTTGAGCTAAGGCAATGGTGGGAGAAGGTCTGTAGGAACAAGAGAGCATCTATAATTAAAGAAAGAGTCTCTCTCTCTGCTTGTCTGCTCTGGAGTATTTGGAAAGGTAGAAACAAATTTATCTTCAGCAATGAAGAATTTTTGGTGGAGGACATTGCAGCTGGTGCTAGAAGAGATTGGTTGGAGTTTGAGGAGCTGAAATTTGTGAAACCCCCTGATAATGCTTCTAACAGTAACTCAGACCTTTGTGAAGAAGAGGAATTTTCCCAGAGAGTAGGAATTGTAGAAATACAATTCAGTGCTCTAACTTCTTCGATTGGTAAGGTATGAGTGGGGCTGATTGCAAAGAGCATTACAGTGGACTTTGAAGGCAAGCACTTTTGGGAATGGGCAGAAAATCAAATGGAAGCAGAGCTACTGGGAGTCAGATGGGCTTTGGAGCTGGCATTGCAGCAGGGATGGACTGAGGTGAGATGCATACTCACATCCACTAAACTGGTGGATATTCTTAAGGTTCCCAAGAAGCTGTCTGAACTACCAGATGTCTCTAGAACTATCGTTGAAGATATATTATATCTGTCTGGTTGCATGATTGTCTGTGGTTTCTTGCATGGTGTAGTATCTTTGCGATGTGTTTCGTTAGCCATGTTGGCTTTAGAGGAGGATTAGATTTGTCTTTCTTCTGGTTTATTTCCTATCTAGCGGCTTGTGCTAGAAGGAAGATTTATGTTCAGTTGAACACCTCCTTGTACTTTGTCTGAGTTTGATCTAAAAATTTATTCGTTTTGGAAAAAAAAAAAACTACGTAATACCAATCACCATTTTCAAATTGCATATGCTCCAAATTAGCTTCGGCTGGGACCCACTTTTCTATCAGTTATGTGGGAATAATTTTTATATTCTACTTTTTAATTTAAGAATATTATTTTTTATTTTTATATAAATATGTAAACCAAAATACTATTATTTTGAAATTTATATTTTAAATAATTATATCTTTTTAATAACATTACTTTAGTAAAAAAAAAATTAATTCATTTAAGCTAAATTAATGTTGCATAAATGTAGCTTATTTGAATTAATTCTCTTACAACGCTATTTTTATAAATATATTTAATACCTTTATTATATGACTAATTTTATATATACTTAACTCTTTCAAAAATATAAATTTTATTCACAAATAATATTCTATAAGTTTATTAAAAAAAACAAAATTAGTTAGTTTATATTTTAATATTATCATATATTTAGATTAAAATTAAGTTAATATTTATTTTTTAACTTTTAGAATAAAATTCATTAAACTTTTTCATAAATAAAAAATTATGAAATAATTATCTTATTAGGTAATTTTAGTAAATATATTATAAGTACTTAAAAAATATATTTTTAAAAAAAAATTGTGGTTTACATAATTATATCAAAATAAAAAGTGTTTTGGAGTCTTAAATTGAAAGTAGAATGTAATGTAGGCCTTATAGTGAGAATAACATAAAATTGAAACCCTCAAATAAAAAAAAAAATTGAAAATTCATGACTTATTGTGACATAATAACAAAAAGTCAAGCCTACATTAGAATTTCCCAAAAAAAAAAAAAGAAAAAAATAGCAGTGTTTTGTTGTTTAGAATATAAAGATCAATTGATATATATTTATAAATTTCAGGATTTAGTCAATCTGAATTTCATTTTGCATTAACTGCCATATCAATAGCAATTCATCTTTTTTATTTATTTTTTTATTTTTTTCTTTCTATATGGTGATAAGTAATCCCATAAATAGATAAGGTAACACGAGATCCCAAGGGACCACAATCCGAACAAAAAGGATCAAAGGAGAGCAAAAGTTTCCTAAAAAAACAACTGGAAAATAGACGACAAAGTAATAGCCGCAAAGCCCAGCGGAGACTTGTATTTTTTATTTTTTTTTTCCGAAACGATAGGAGACTTGTTACCTGCTAGATACACTACCAAACTAAACAAAGGATAAGAAGAAAAGAAATTAGCCACTGCCAAGAGCCTAGCTCAGAAACAGAAAAAACAGAAAGCAATAACTAAGATAAAGAAGAAGCAAACTCAGGTCACTGTCGGACTGCGCTATAAACAATAAATTTCTCCGCAGATATTTTGAAAAATCCATAGGTTTTGAGTCTTTCAAAGTTGCCAAATGATAAATAGAAAGATGAAACCTATCTTCCACTGACTTATCACCCTTGAGTAAACAAAGATTTATCCACCAGTGTTTAAAATTCCCAGAAAATTGAGTAGGACCCTTCCAATGAACATGAGCTATCCTCCAGACTCTCTCGACTCTTGAACAATAAAAAATGATATGTTCGGGAGTCTCAAGTTCTTCTCCACATGCAGATAGTGTCTAGCTTGAGACCTCTCTTTTTTAGGTTAACAGCACATGAAGCACACCATTGTAACATTTCCAAATGAAATGTTTTACTTTTCCCTTAATCTTCATCTTCCAACTTTTGATTCTCATTTTTCTCAAAGAAGGAGAATTAGAACTATTCTCAGCCACATCAAGCTTGAGTAGTTTTTCAAAGATTAACTGAGCATATGTGGAAGCAACTAAGAAGTTATGCTTTGTATCAAAACACCATACATCTATATCAGTCAGGTGTCTACTCAAAGCTTTAATTTTAAGAATAGCATCACACTCCGAGTGAGAAATACACCTTCTGATGAGGTCCTCATTCCATGAGACTCCATCTTCAGCAATAAGATCATAGAACAAAAGTAAGTCAGATGAGTTTAGAGATCTTACCAACAGCTTATTGTGAGGGAGCTCAAGAACCAAAAGATGCTCCCAA